GAAGGGCGGGTTCTGGCTGCCCTCCCTGTAGGGAAAACGTGCATAGACTTTTAAGTCAGACCTGCACTTAAAATGGGGAGAGAGGGCCGGGGATTTAGCTCAGTGGTTTCACTGCCTGCTGCACGAGCGCAAGGACCCGAGTTCGATCCCCAGTATCACAATAAAAATAAAAATTAAATTAAATGGGGAGAGGGCACCAGGAAGGGAGGGAAAGAAGCAGTTTCTGGGGAGGAAGTTGCAAACAGATGCTGGCCAGGTTCCCTGAAAGCCAGGCCCGCAGCCTGACACTTGGGAAAGCCCACGGGGACAGCTGTCAAACTGCCGGGCTAGGGCCACACGGCTGCAACCTGTACTCCTTCGTGCACACACGGCCTCGCTCTGGGATGTGAGCTCAGGTGAGTCACCCGGCAGAGGAGTTTTTCCCAGGGCTCGAGGCCAGAGGGAGCCACCCTCTACATATAATTAGGCAGCCCACGAAGCCATAAACACCGGCAGGCTGAAGACCTGGAGGGCTCGCAGGGCAGGAGGGGCACATCTAGAACCCTGAGCTCCCCAGTCACTGGGCAAGTCACTGAGGGAAGAAGCAGGTCCTCCCCATCCTGCCTCAACACGCCAGTCTCCCACCACACTCCCTGGGCCCACTCAGCTGGAGGCCAGCAGACCCTGACTCCAGCACCAGGCATGCAGTACCACACTGCCCGCCCGCCTCCTCCGGCTCCGAGCTCTAACCCCAGGTGCTGACCGGGGCACCTGTCCTGGCCTGGGAATGCTGGGGCTCCTCGCACTGGCTGCCCCCAGAATGTAAGCTTCCAGAGGGTCTTCCGAACGTGAGCAGCACCTTCCGATGACCCCCGGCGCAGGACACTGCAGGGTCTCCCCTCTGTGGCCTTGTCTCGAGGGCCTGCACCCCAAACCTCCCTCTCCCTTTGGGTTACACCCAGCAGGGCACTCTTGCCACAGTGAAAGGGTCCAGAATGCACCCCCAAACCCAGCTGAGAACGGCGGAGAGGGAAACGTCACTGTGCTGACTCTTCCGGGGTACGGGATGCGGACAACGAAAGCCCTCTTTCCACAGGCACAGTGGTGCACGCCTGTAACCCCAGCACTCAGAAGAGGGCTGAGGCAGGAGGATTGCCATGAGTGTGAGGCCAGCCCAAACTACATATCACAACCCTGTCTCAAAAACCCACAACAGAAACCAAAAGAAGTCCTTTTTCCACAGACCTCTCACTTTGATCCCATTCTTTCTTCTAGGTAGACTGAGGCAGAGCAACTTTTAACCCAAGATTCTAAAACTGATTGGGGAAAAGAAAGCAATCAGAAACCAGTTTGCTCCGTGTGTTCTGGGACCAGGAAATTATCTAAGGACCAATCCCACAGGGTCACCCCTGTAGGGAGCAGGAGGTACAGTCGGCAGCCCGGAATCCTGGGCCCAGTCACCCCACTAGCGCCACGATGTCTACCTCTGAGGCTTACAGAGACTCACCAGTCCCACAGGAGCTTCCCGGTGCCCAGGGATAAAAGACAGTGTGTCCAGGTGCTGCCAGGGGCACACAGGAGGGCGCCATCGGAACAGGCTACTTGGCACCTGCTGGGGGTGGGCCAGGCCAGACCCCAACACTCAGGATCTGCCTAGGGCACCGTGCCGCCCAGCTCTGTCCAGCCCGATGCCCCTCCACCAGAAATGCTCACTGGGGTCGGGCAGACCCGCCCGCCAACGCCTGCCACGGGCTCAGAGGACACAGCCAGCCACGCGTGCTGGCTCTCAGAGCAGGGGTGACCGCCTGTCCTGCAGTCTCGCTAGACAGGCACAGGTACGGGCACACTGAACATACACGGGCATGGGCACGGGCACGGCACACCGAACCCGGATCTGGGGCTGCTGCTGCTGCTGCTGCTTGGAGGGGCTCAGCTCTCTAGGCTTTGCTTCCCCAGCCAAAAAGCGTGGCAATGGTACGTATCACAAAGGCTTTGGATAAACATTAAATAAGAATGTAGGAAAAGGGCCCAGCAAGCGATAACAGGCACTCAGAAAAAGCTAATCTTAATTGTATCAACAGCTAACTTTCCTTGGTGCTTTCATCACAAGGCACTTTCACACATCCATTACGAAACGAATTCCCAAATGGCACAGCGGAGCAGGGAGAACGGGTATCATGCTGTCTGTTTCGCAGACGGGGACGACAGCCTTGGAACGGAGGTGACTCACTGGGGACTGTGCAGTGAACTAGTGGTGGAGTTGAGTCTCCAAAGCCACTCCAGCCCGCCAGAAGGTGTGGGTGCAGATCACACAGAAACGGGAACTAGGACTCAGAAACACGTGGTGAGGCGACGGAGACAGGACCAAAGGGGGCTGAGGGCCACAGTCAGGGCTAAGGAATGGGGGACACTGCCCCTCAGGACACACAGTGGGCCAGCAGGCCCAGCTACCAGGGCCACACGGGTCACGGGGCTCCCGGGGGCGCTCTTCATGCCCTCACTGAGGGCTGCTCTCACCTCACCCAGGCAGCACCTCTCACTCTGGGGTGAGCGCAGGGAAGGATGACAGCAGTGCCTGCTTTCCGTCCACTCCGCCACGGTGCTGCACACGCTCAAGCCGAGGCCCACGAAACACCAAATCCACGTATCACAAAGCCCACTCACAGGCAACAGCCAGACTCAGCCTCCAGTCCTTGTTTTAGAAATAACTTGAACCAAGATGATTAGTATCTCAGTACTGCTGGAGAAAAGTAACAAATTGGAGCTGAACAGAAAAGCTGTTACAGCAGCCACACACAGGTCACTTGGAAATCAGACAGGGAAAGGAGAGAGCGTGGATCAGAATTAAAGACGGAGCAGCGAGGGCCTTGGGACATGGGGCAGTCAGCAGAGCCCGACTATGCCAGGCAGCAATGCCCCAGGCAGCAATGCCCCAGCCAGCAGCCCGGCACCAGAGACTAAACTGCGTCTAACATTTTGTTGTTGTTGATAAAAGAGAGGAAATAAATGTCTGAGAGTCCCGCCCGCAGTGAGAATACTTTGCAAGTTACTACAGATTCTAACTCACTGAAAAAGCCTGAATACTGGCGACACCTCATTCCTAAGAGATTCCAGGAATCCAAAACTCTTCGGCACCAGGAAAGAGCTTTCTATGAAACACATGGAAACACAAGTTTCCATAGTTGCGTCTTCCCGGCCCCTCTCTTTCCTCCGCCTCCCCTACGACAGTGTGTGTTAATGAGGTTCTGGAACCCTGAGAGCTCCAGGTAGAGACCCACACTTGCTCCACCCTCCCCAGGGAGCTGGAGCCCTCGGTGACCTCACCTCTGGAAGGCCGGGTGGTGGAGGCAGGGCCTGCCCACCCTCTCCCACCCTGCCCGCCACAGGGAAATGTCTCTACTAGTCTGCATAATTAAGGGAGAAGGGATTTTATGCCTTTCAAAAAGGAGAAGAGAGAAAAATAGCAAATAACTATTCCGGGACAAGCAGTTTTTCTGACACGGGGGAAACAAAAGGTCAGGGGAACACAGACTTTAGACAGGCCTGTTTCAGTCCCTGGGGAGGGGACTGGCAAGCACAGGTCCCCGATCCGCCAGGCAGTCACTCCCGCCTCACTCCCCAGGAGAGCTTCCACCTGCTTCCCCCGGGAGGGAGGCTGGACCTCAGCCTGCGGGCACCGGGGCCATGAGCAGCCAGTCGCTGCCCCACTTCTCTCAGGAAGAAGAAAGGGCCGCTGGGGAGCCACTTCTGCACGTTACTACCCACTTTCACCAAATGCTGCATTGTTACAAAAGCAAGAGGGCCGGGCTGGGGAAGACAAACTAAAGTTCATAAAATAAAACAGCAAAAAGAACACCGAAGCTCCAAGCTGGAGTCGGACCCCAGAGCTCAGGCAGTGCCCAGAAGGCCTCCCCAGCTCTCTGGCTTTTGCTCCCTCCTGTCAACCTTTCTGGGCCAGAAACAGCGTGTCCCACTGCAGCACCTGCCCTACCCAGCACACGAAAACCCAGGGTACAGAGACAGCCTACCAGGCTGTAGCCAGCTGCCTGTCCTCGGTGCTGGGCCCTGGGCTCACGGGGGTGCCTGCCTCTCCCAAGGCAGGCGAGGGCGTCCAGCTCCCTCCTGACGGGCTGGAAGCAGGCAGCACCCCACCTCCGGGCCCAGGCCGCCTCTTGGGCCGATGCCGGGCGGTCGGGGGCTCCGCTCTCCTCCGGGATGCGAACTAGGGCTGCGGGCAGAAGCCACAGTCAGAGCAGCATCTTGGAGCCCACGGAAGACGGCGCAGAAGCCAGGGCTCCTCCGCAGTCCAGCTCAAGGGCAGGCGGCCCCCGCTTGGGATCCGGGGCGCGACAGGACCCGCCTGGACCGCGCGCGAGCCATCCGCCGCTGCGGCGGGGACGCGGCGGAGGGCAGCGGGCTCGGACGCCGCCGTCCGGGGGCGGGGAGACCACTTCCGGAGGGGAGGTCGGCTCGGAGGCCGGCGCTGACACCTGGCGGCGGCCCAGGCCCGGCCCGGCGGCTCCCAGGAAAGGGTTACGGGGCCGAGAACAAAGCGCCCTCGGGAAGGCGGGCTGCGGGCGCGGCCGGGCGGAGCGCCACTTTCCGGGCGTCGCAGGCTGTGGGGGCCACGTCTCCCGGGGAGGAGCTGACCCCCGCCCAGGCGGACGCTGCGCCTGCCCGGCCTCCCCGCCGAGGTCCCCGCTGCGCGCGGCGCCAGGACAAAGCCGGCCAGGGCGCCGGGGTCCCGCGAGGACCCGGCTAGGGGCCGCGCCTCCAGGGCGGCGCAACTTCGGCTCCTCCGTTCTCCCGCGCGCCCAGACCAACTTCCCGGAACTCCCGCCGCCCCGGGCGCCGAACTCGCCGGGGCGCTGTGCAGCGAACGGCGTCACTCCCCTCCGGGTCATCGGGCGCCCGTGAGCCGCTTTCCGTGTGCGGGGCGCCCCAGGCCGCCGGGCAGCGCGGGAAGGAACGGCCCACGTGCGGGCCCGGGCGGGACGGCTCCCCGCGGCCGCCGCACTCACCGCCAGGGCCGGCCGCAGGCACAATGCCAGCGCGCACGCCCAGGGCCACAGCGCCGCGCGCCCCATGCTGCCGACGCGGGCTGTGGGCTCGGCCGGCTCTGCGCGCTCCGTCCGGAGGGGGCTGCGGGGCGGCCGGCTGGAGTCCGCCGACTACCGCTTCTCTGCGCTCGGCTCCGCCGCGGCCCGTGCCTCTCCCGCCGGGCTCCGCCTTATAATAAACCCCGGGCCGGAGCCCGGCGGTCCAGCCCCCGCCCCCGCTCACAGGTCCCGGGCCGCCCAGGCCCCGCCCCGCCCCGCCCCCGGGCTGCCCCGCCGTCCCGTTCTCCGGGCCGGGCCTCCGGGGTCCCCGCGCCCCTTTCCCGCCCGCCTGGCCCCGGAGGTCCTGGGAGGAGCGGCGGCGGCGCTGCGGGGCCTCGGTGGGCGCGGGCTGCAGCGCCCTGTGGCTGGACCAGGGCGCCCCCAGGTGGGCAGGGCCCCGAGGTCCGGGGCGGCCCCGGTGCTCGGGCGCGGGTGCGGGCACGCCCGGCCTCCTCGGCTCCCGACGCTCGGGGGAGCTGTGTAAGAGGCGGACGGGGCCCCTCAGCTCGGCCCGCTGAGCAGCGCCCTGCAGGCCCTGGGTCCCCGTCTCCCTCAGCAGGCAGGCGGGAAAGGCCGGGAGGGCGAGAGCAGAGCCCAAGAACCGCTGGGCCTGGCCCCGAACCGCCCGCCCTAGAGCCACGCCAGGGCCCTTCGCACCTGCCCGGCCACTGGAGACGCCAGACCAGAACCCAGGTCCCCACGTCCCCGCGACCTCCTGGGACGTTTCCTGCGTTTGTCGTTAGGACAACTACGCCTCCGGGGTCAGGACTCGGCAGGAGGGCGGTGTCTGCGAGCTGCCGCTGCTCCTCCACGCCGGGCCCTCCCTGCGCACCTGGGTGAAGCCCACTCAGAGCTCCGCCCTCTGCCTCTGCTCCCAACACCTGTTGCATCCCGCAGCTCGCACTCTGGGGCCTCAGTTTCTCCAGTTCTGTTTGGGAGTGGCAGAGACCCCGGGTACCCCGGGGCCTCGGTGACGAGCAGCTTGGTGGGGCATCCCTGGCGTCAGGGGCCCGGCCTGGCTCAAGGCCCCTGGGCAGCGGCCCGGGCGTCGCCGAGAGGGAGGGTGGCCCGGCTAGCGAGTCCTGACGTGGGCTCTGCGGCCTCGACCCAGGATGCAGGGAAAGTGGGTCGGTGGTACTCTACCAGTCTCTGCTTCTCAAAGCAGGGAGAAGTGAGGTCAGGGAGGACTCAGTGGGTGTTTTTTTGTATTTTGAAGTCACCCGTGTGTCGTTTCTTTCAAACTGGGCAGATGCCCCCATTGGTGTGTCTGCTTGTGGGGCGCCGAGGGGCACACGGGGGGCCCTGGCCGAGGAAGGGAGGGGGCCCTGCTGCCCGCCCCGCTGCGTTGAGCTCCCTGGCCCCCGTTATGCAAGAGCGCACCTTCCCTCCAGGCATTCGGGGCCCAGACCCAGCCAGGGCCTTGCACCTCCTCCAGCCCACAGGCCTGCGTCCTTCCGGGCCCAGCCTGGAGGGGCTGACCGCTGCAGGGAGCCTTCTGCCCCCGCAGGCCACTCGGATCTGTGTCCGCAGGGTGCATTGTTAAATTTTCACATCCTCCCTGGAGAATCCCCAGCTGCGCTCCTTCCTTACTAAGAGGAGGAAGTTTCTGGACGCCTAGCCAGCCTCTGCCCTTCCATCCTGTCTTCCTGCTAAGTGCGAGCTCTTGCCTGGAACAGGAGCGGTGCAGGGGAGCTGAGCAGAGGAGAAACCCAGCCCTGGGCCGCAGGCTGCCCCCCATGAGGCGTCTCGTCTCTGAGACCAGCAGCACCCGGCTGCAAACCCCTCCGGGGACCTTCCCAGGACCTCTCCTCCAGGGCGTCACCCTCCCGCGGAAGGCCTGGTCACCGAGGGGAAGTGAAGTAACCACGTGGGATCCGCTCTGGGCCGCCAAGCAGCACCTGTCAGAGGAAGGTGCTAGCTGAATGAGGTGCTGCAAACCGTCATCCTAGCACTCGGGAGGCGGAGGCAGGAGGATCACAGTGAGTTCGAGGTCAGCCTGAACTGCGTAGTGAGACCCTATCTTAAAAAGCAATAAAATAAAAGAAATTAAATAAAGGTAAGGGCTGAGAAGTTTTTCAGAACTTACTTGTAGGTGTGCACATACATGGCATTTTATACATGTATATGAATATTAATGCCCCAAATTTTCTTAAAACATGTATAATGTGCATTTTCATAATGTGTATAATAAAGGCCTAGGGAACTTGGGGTGCGAACAAGAACTTTCATGTTTATTCTGTATTTTTAAGTGTTTAAAATCACGTCATTTGTTGTTTTTTTTTAGAATTTATTTGCTGAACCAATTCAGATGTTTTCAGCCTCAACTAATAGCTGCCCCCAGCTAGAATGATAAATGGTCATTGCACATACCTGTGCCTGCTCTATGCAGAGAACTGCCCAACTCTGCATGACCAACACTCAGTTCAGTGGCTCTACAGATCTGGACTACACTTTGATGTTGGTCCATGTAGACACGTGCAGCTCCAGTTCGTTTATTTTTGTTGCTGTATAATAATTCATTGCATTATGAAAATGCCACAGTTTATCCATGGATATTTTGTTGTTTCCAGGTGTTTTTGTTTTAAAATATCATGCACCATGCTACAGTCAATTGTTTTACTTCATTTCTTTTGGGGTGTGTGTGTGTGGTCCTGGGCTCACACCCAGGGCCTTGCACGTGCTAGGTGAGTCACTTCTCCTTACTGTCTCCCGTGCATGTGCGCCCTGGGTTAGAAGTGAGACATCTTTCACTTTCTTAAGACTATTCTGACCAATTTCTCTGAGCAGATTGGTTCGTTCCCCCTGAGAGTCGTCATTTTTCTGCATCTTTCCTAGGACTTAATTGCTGCACCTTTTCTGTTTTGCCAGTGCGATGCAAATAAACGACATAAGGCACTATTGTTTGATGTTGAGTGCCCTCCCTTCGAAACGTTTTGCTGAAGCCCCTGGTTGCTGACCAAATGGACAGATGCTTCTGGGCTCACAGACAACTCAGAATAAAAATTACCTTTTCCAGGATCTCTTACATCTCTTGCTTACAGTCAGATGTAGTCATCTGCTTAGAGTGTTGCCAAGTGGTATGTGCACATCAGGGAGGTGTCAAGAGGAGAAGTCATGCCCTTTTCCTTCCCTTTTATCTTTCTTCCTGGCTGGAATGCAGATAAGATGGCTGCAGCTACAGCAACCATCCTGAACCATGAGGTGAATTTGGGACTAGAAATCTTGTATAGCAGGGGAACAAGTGGACAGCACACTCAGACTTGTACATCATGGGGGAAAATACTTTTTGTTTTACTTATTTTTGCAGTAGTAGACAATTTTTTTTTTGCACTGAGCTACATCTCTAGCCATTTTAAAATTTTTATTTTGAGGGAGGGTGTCAACAAATTGTTCATTTGTCCAGCTGGGCTCAAATGTGCAATCTTCCTGCCTCAGCCTCCCAGAGTGCTGGGATTATAGGCGTGTGCCACCACACCCAGCGATACTTCTCTTTAAGACACTTATTCTGAATTTTCTGTCACTTGCCAGCGAATGGAATCCAAGCACAGGTAGATTCAGTCTTCCATGTGTGGCTGAGTGGATAATCCCAAGAGAGGAGGAGAGGGGAGGAGCTCTGGGTACTGCTGGAAGCCTCCAGGAGGCAGCCCGGCCTGGCCACGCGGGAGCTCCGGGCGCTCAAGTTGCCTAGCAGCTCTTCCGTAGGGCAGGGTAGAGGAAACCTGGGGTCTGCAGGCTGCGCCAGGACTGGGGAGCCCTGCGCACCCTCACTCTGGAGGGCCATCCTCAGCCTCATGAGACGGGCAGCCCAGCGCCGGGAGAGCTGTTTCCGAGGCACCCGTGTCAGGGGCCAGCGGCTATGGCGTCTGCGTTTGCGCCGGGCAGCTCAGGGTGTCGAGGGGCCCGAGGGCGGGACCCGCCTCATCCTCGCACCTGCCGCGCCTCGGGAGGCCAGCCCGCTGGCTGTTAGTGTTCGGACGTGTCGGGTGAAAAGGAGCGAGGTGGGGAGGGCGGGTGAGAGAGACGTTCGCCTTCCGTAAACATCATGGCATCCACACATCCACATCCGGGCATCCGCTTCCTGCACGTGGACCCGTGACACCGCCCACCGACCAGGGAGACGCAGGAGCCCTTGCTGCAGAAGAAAGGCGGCAACGTCAGTGCGGGGCTCCCAGAAGCACAGTGCCCGTCCCCCGTCCTCCGGAGGACGCAGTCCTTGGAAGTGGACCACGAGGCCGAGCGGCAGCTGCCGGGCACCCACGGGAGCCAGCCCTGGCTGGACGCTGGAGGGGCAACAGCGAGCAGAAGGCTATCGTCTGCTAGGAGTGCAGGCTTTGGGGACAAACAATCATTCTAAAACAAAGAAGCGTGCACACGGCCTGCTCGCCCGGCTGCAGGAGCCATGGCCCCACCGGAGGCTCCACGGTGCAGGCAGCGAGGCAGCGCTCAGTGTCCTTTGCTGCCGCCCTGACAGGTGCCCGGCACTCTGGGCCTTAGCACCACGCGGAGTCCAAACTCGGCTCCCCGGCTGCAGTCAGGCTGTCAGCAGCTGTGCTCCCTCCCGGCTCCTGTATCACACCCCTTCACACCCGCAGCTCTGTCCCCTCTCCGCCCATTCACAGGCGTCTCCTCTGTGTGCAGCACAACGCGCTCCACCCCCTGCCAGCGCAACAGCAGCTAGGCCGGGCGAGCGGCACACACTGGCATCCCAGCACTCTGGAGGCTGAGGCAGGAGGACCCAAAATTTGAACCTGGCCTGGGCAATTTCGTGATACAGAGAGATCCTGTCTCAAAATAAGTACCTCGGGAAGAACTGGAAGAGGAGGAAGGGGAGGAAGGGGAAGAAAGGAGAGAAGGAGAAGGAAGAGAGGGGGGAGGAGGAGGAGGAGGAGGCGGAAGAAGGCAGCTGAGGGCATTAGGGCCCACCTGAACACAGTAACCCAAGAAAACAGCCCCCTCTCAAAATGCTTCTCTTACTCACACCTCAACCGCAACCTCTCTCCTGACTTTTTTCTTCCTTGCCCTGCTGAGTAACACACAGTCTGCAGGGATTGCGATGTCGCTGCTGCAGGCCCCGGAGCAGGACAGGCCACTCCCTCCGGGAAAGCAGGTGAAGGCTCCTCGGAGCCCAGGGC